GAACCCAATATAGTGTGTGGGAACCCAATGCAGGGTGTGTGAACACAACATAGGGTGTGCGAACCCAATATAGTGTGTGGGAACCCAACGCAGGGTGTGTGAACCCAACACAGGGCGTGCAAACCCAATATAATGTGTGTCAACCCAATGTAGGGTGTGCAAACCCTGAAACTCAGGAAAGGTAATTCTTTTTGCTACTTATTTGAACAAATAGGAATCAGCGCAGGGTCCTCAAGACCAAGTCACCAAGGGTCTGAAACTCCCTGGAGTCTTCCAGCATCTCGAGCCAGCCCCACTTCTTTGACAAGCAGAACTTCCCAACGACTGCCACACACTGGTGTCTGCACAGACACCGGTCACTGCACACGCACTGCCTGTGATCCCATCAAGATGCCCTGACCCACGCCCAGTCTCCTGGATGTGCTCAAAAATCACCCAGCGCTGGAGGGGGGTGTGGAGCCAGGGTTGTGGGCACAAGTGAAACACAACCGTAAGAACCCCTGCAGCGCCCCGTCAGCAATTAGTAAATACGGGGTAGCACTGAACCCCGACACTTACTTCGAGCGCCCCGTCTGGCCGTCATGCTCAGGAGGCGGGAGTCGGGGTCCTCCTGCACCAGCTCCTGTGGGGGGCCCAGCTGGGAGTTCGCAGAGACCATGTCTTCGGGGCCAGCGGTCAGCAGCTGAGGACAGATGGCCAGTGGGGTGAGGCCCAGTTAACTGAGTTCCTATCCCAGGATGAGGTAGATGGGTCCTGGGGTGAGGGGACCGGTCACTGTGGTATTGAAATGTGGGTGACCATGCATGGTCCCTGTCCCCTGAGGCCACTCCCCAGGGAGTTGCCCTCACGCTAATTCCTTGGGTGCTTTCTCAGGAAATGATGGCTGCATCCCACATAAAATGAGCATTTTCACCTTTCCTCGGGTAATGTGAAGAGCTAATGTGGAGAGCTGCAGAGCTGGAGGGAAGGAGGGGAGGGAGTTTGGAAACGGCGCTAAAGCGTCCCTCAGTCAGAGCAGCAGGGCAACCGGATACCAGTGGGGCCACACAGAGGTGCCTTGGACTGAGGTACAGGGGCGCTATTTGACTTAGGGAGCGGAGTTTAATCCTGAGTCATTGACCACCTGGGTCAAAGAAGAAAATACCTACAGCCAGTTCCCTGGGAGGCTGCGGGGTTTGAGGCACAGAAGAAATGGGGCAGCCTTAGGCATGTAACTTGAAAAGGAATTGCCCACGGGGCTCTAATATGCCGCTGGGATTAAGCTTCCCGCAGCCCAGTCTCCAGTTCAGCTCAGAGACTTGAGACGTTGCCCTGAGCTCCTTTCCCTGCTGCGCCCACTCACGCCCCCACAGGTCACCAGGCCACTGTGCAGGGTCCCTCCGTCCAGCTGAGGGCTCAGCTCCAGCCTCTGTGCAGCTCATGGCCACCATCTGGGCGTCCCTGTCCAGGCTTCCGAGCCCACCGGCCCCAAAGGAAGGGGTTAAGCTCCCGGAGGCGGGAGAGAGTGCCTGTGCCAGCTTCCTCCCTGGCGTCTCCATCTCAGCTGCCCAGGACTCTGGCACAGCTCCCCACTGCTGCTGCCCAAGGGCGGGTGCTGGGCCCAGGCCAGTGGCCAGCAGGCGGGAGTGCTCCCCTGAGCAGGGCTCTCCCCACCTCGGGGCCACCCTTTCCAAGGGGGCTCTATCACGTGGCTGCTGCCTCAAAATGGCGCTCCCTTCCTTTCCCTCCCCTGCTGGCCTCTGGAATATTCCAAGCAAATCACCCTTCCATAGCATCTCCCCTGCGTCCCTCCTCCAAAAACAGGGGAGCTGTCACTGGGAGGGTAGTTACCTGAAGAAGGTTGACCTGGCGCCCGCCCGGAGCCTGCCCAGCCAGGGAGGGCCACGCCTGGGAGCCTGGGAGCCGGGGAGCCAGGGAGCCGGGGAGCCTGGGAGCCGGGGAGCTGCGAGCCGGACTGGAATGGGCTTGGCGGGCCCCAAAGCGATCCTGCCTTGAGAAGAAGGGAGCCGCCTCTGTGCGGTCCTGCACTGCCATCTACGGCCCGCTTGGGTGAAAACACCGCACGCAGCTGCAGCTCCGTATCACTTACAGACCCTCTCCGGAGGAGGTGGGGACAGGAGGAGCCCTCTGAACTGGCCAGGGCTCAGGGTCAGGTCAGGTCAGCTGAGGTCCCCACGAGGGCTGCCCACTGTCTCACCCCCGTGGCCACAGCCTGGGACAGACGCTCTCTGGACTCGCCCTACCTGCTTCTTCCTCCTCTGCTTTTGAGCCTTTGAGGTTTTCTTCTGTCTTTCCACATCAGCCTCCTCCTCATTTTCAAGGAACTCCTGTGTGAAATGCAGAGGGGAGAGGCATTGGAAGAGGTGGAGAGCAGGGCAGGGGACAGCTGTAGCCTAGGGGCTGTTCCTTTTTCTAGGTGACACTTTCTAAAGCTTTGCTGAAGGCTCAAGCCACCCAGGCTCTCGCTTTGTTTTTAAGACTTATTTATGTATACGGAACTGGGGTACAGGCCAGAGGTGCAGGGGTGAGGGGGCCAGGTCATCTGACCCCGGGAGGCTCCCTTGATGCAAGTCCCCTCCTCACTCCAGCCTTGTTCGTCAGGCTCCGCAGTGGGGAGAATCCTTTGCTAAGAGTCCGGCCACTTGGACCTGTGAGAGCTGCTGTCATTTTCTGTTTCCCAGGAATGCTCTCCTCTTTCAGCAATGAGAGCTGCTCCGGAGGACTTCCAAGTCCATAGAACAGGAAAGCCAAGGACACGGGGCTGGATGGGGTGCAGGACCCTGAGCCAGGGCACAGTGGATGGCTGGCACACCGGGGAATAATTGAGCAGGGTTGGGCACCAATGCCTTGGTTGCAAAGTATAAGACTAAGCCAGTGGCAGAGTGCTGTGGGCTGTGTCAATCGCAGACCCAAAAGGTGAAGGATGTGGAGATGAGCCCATTGTGGGATCTCCAGACCCTTTCAGGTTCTATTCAAAGTCAACAAGCCCAGCCTCCCGGAGCGAGCCCCTCCCAGAGAGAAGACGGCTATCAGGCAGTCTCTGCACCAGCCAGAGGGCAACAGTCCTGCCCTATGCAGGTGCTGCTTCCTCCCGCCCACTCTCCCTCTGCAGGGCAGCAGCCTCCCGTGACTGCCGTGACCTGTACCGTGCCTGGGCTTCTCTGCACTGAGCTCCCTCCGCGGAGGCCGCTCTCCTAAGGCTGCCCGCCTGCAACTGCGCAGGCCTTTCAGCAAGCCTGTCCCTTCCAGGGCATCTCTCCCTGCCGATACTCCGGTCCTTTCCCCTAATAACCTGCTCTTTAAATAAACTGAGTCTCTGTCTCGTGGAGAAACTCGCCTGGGAACTCGCCAGTGCTGCTGAAAGGGGAGCCCTGGGGAAGCCTTTCCCAGAGCGAACCCACGGACTACGCGCTAACTCCCCCAAAACGACATCAGCTACAGTGCCAATGGTTACGTTCATTCTGAATTTCCTTGGAGATCAGCTGGCATTAACCCGTCCCAGGTGGTACCTTAGGGCAGCCGGGTGTCTCCGGGGAGCCAGGTGGAGGGGACGCTCTCAGGTGGGCTCCTGTCACCACCCACCCTGGTCCCGGAGCCCCCCAGAGCACCCTGGGTATGCAGTCGGCACGCTTTTAGTGCACACTGCCATCGACGTGCCATCGACGCTGCAGGCTCTGCTCGGCGCTGACTGTCCTCACACAGCGACGGGCACACGTGGACGCAACGACGTGCCAGTGACCACCACTTACCTCGGTGATTATTTTCACTTTTTCTTCCTTGGGATTCATTTTGCTTGTGACAGCTGTTCCCTGTCGGGCAAAGAGCGAAGGCGACGTCAGGCATTTTGAAATCAAATGTTTTCTTAAACATTGGTAATGTCACAGGACAGGGAGAGAGGGGCACCCCTGAGCCCCTCAACCTGCCTGCTCTAAGTGGGTTCTGCATCCGCCACGTCAAGACAAAACATATAAAACTTGAATGCAAAGGGACTTTAGTACAGTGAATATGTCACAGGGTGGTCCCTAGGAAAAAGGGAAGTTCCAGGGTCCCTGCCCCACCCAGAAGGAGGGTGGAGCTGAGCAGAGAAAAAGGAGAGAAG